CCTGAACTGGATCTTCTCAGTTGAACGATTGAGCTACCATTGCCATGTTTGCAGATTGATTATTTGAAGATGATCCTCTGTTGTTGTTGTGAACTTAAGTCACTGGCACCATGGTTCTGTCAGAGTTTGCTCGCTGATCAGGTTTTGGGCATTCCCGTGCAAAATGTCCTGGTTCGTGACGATTATAACAACGTAACTTTCCTTTGCTAAAACCCATCTTTTTATCTGAATTTACACCCCAGTTGTTCTTTCTAGTTTTTTTTGAGAATTGTTTAGTCCTGAATACAGACATTGCCATTTGCCAAGTAATATCCATCTCTTCCACATCTTCAGGATGAATTTTTTCAAGATCAGTGAATGAGAGTTGTGGAGAGAGGTCTCCAGCAACAAAAGCATTGTAGCAGTTCACTAACCCAGTAGCTAGAGCCATATTTTCCTCATTTTCCTTTGAAAGTAAACTTTGGGAACCAATTCCATGAGATTGAACTGAAAATTCTGTGGAGGGAAAAACACTAGAACCAACTTGAGATATGGTTTGAGGGATTTGAGTTTGTTGTATTTTAGGTATGATGTATGGTGTGTTTTGATGGATTGCATGAGGTTGAACTTGGGGAACCTGGTTTTAAGTATTTTGATGGGTGGTAAAGCTGGAAAAAGTTGTGTTGTTGTTTTGAATTCCAAGATTGGCTGAAGAGTACGAGTTGACATGATTGATTTCTCTTTGTTTATCATCAAGATCGCAAGCTTTGATGATTTCCATTGTTTCAGACAAGCTTAAACGGTTCAGGTCTTTTGTCTTTTTAATCACTGAGACATTCATGTTCCATGATTTTGGGAGAATTAAGTAATTTCTTGTTAATTTCAAACCTTGTAACCATCACGCCTGCGGAGCTCATTTCAGTGGTTAATGTGATAAATCTTTGCAATTGATTTTCCAATGTTTCTCCCACGACATAATTGAACATGTTGAATTTCTGTCGGAGCATGTCTTGTCGGCTTTGCTTCATGTCTTCATTTCCTTTATAAACTTCTATGAGCGCTTCCCATAATGTTTTTGTTGATGTATACTCACGAAAACCTTGTGCAATTTCAGGAGACAATGCCATAGTCAGTGTGGCAAGAGCCTTTTCTTGTTCTTCAACTCGTTCAAAATCATCATCAGTGTAGTTTTCAATCTATTTGTCAATCACCGTTCCATCTTCTAGAGTTAAAGTAATCCGAATTGGTCCTCTCAAGATGCTTCTCCAAATTTTGAAATCCTTCATTTTGATGTATTTTTTAATTCGGTATTTCCATTCAGGAAATCCTTCAGCTGATAACAATCTAGGAATACGAGTAGTTGTTCCCATAATTGCATACAGATCTTGATGAGCAGTCATGTTTTGAGATTCTATTTGAGCAATATTCAACCGCACACTACCATTGATCAAATCTTATTCCTCAAACATGTCGGTCTAGATCAAATTCTCGTTCAAATTTATGTGGACGACATCATTTTCGGGTCGACAAGCCATCAGCTTTGCAAAGAGTTTGAAGTTGTGATGAAGAAGCGGTTCGAGATGAATTCGCTTGGGGAAATGACCATGTTTTTGGGGCTTCAGGTCAAACAATCTTTAGCCGGAATCCTTATTCATCAAGCAAAATATGTGGATGATGTACTGGAGAAGTTCGGGTTTCGAGACGCAAAACCTGCTCTTACACCCATGGCGAAACGACCTCTTTTGACTCCTGGTATTGAGGGTGAATCCGTAGATCAGACACATTATCGATCAATGATCGGATCACTCATGTATCTGACTGCTAGTCGCCCAGACGTCATGTTTGCGGTCTATCAATGTGCTCGCTACCAGGCTAATCCTAAACTCTCTCGTTTAATTGTTGTTAAAAGTATTTTTCGGTATCTCAAAGGGTGCCCAAAACTGGGTCTTTGGTATCCGAAAAATCCTGAATTTGATCTTTATGTTTTTGCTAACAGCAACTATGGCGGGTGTGAGCTGGATAGAAAATCGACTTCAGGAGGATGCCAATTTCTAGGAGATAGACTGGTGTCATGGTAGTGCAAGAAGCAGCACACCGTTTGAACCTCAACAGCAGAAGCGGAATATGTTGCTGCATTTGCTTGTTGTTCTCAAGTCATTTGGATCCAACATCAGTTGTTGGACTACGGTTTGAATTTTCAAGAAACCCCTATTTTCTGTGATAATGAGGCTGTGATCCAAATTGCCAAAAACCCGGTCCAGCACTCAAAAACCAAGCACATCGACATCAAGATTCATTTTATTCGAGAATGTTATGAGCGTTCACTCATTCGGCTAGAACAGGTCCACTCTGATAATAATGTAGCAGATCTGTTCACCAAGCCATTCAACAAAGCTCGATTCGATGTGCTGGTTAATTTTCTAAAAATGATTCGTTTTGAGGATTAATTTTCTTTATTTTTTTGCATAAATTTGTGCATTTTATTTTATTTTATTTTTATGCACAAATTTAGGGAGAGAAAATTAGAAAATCCAAAAACATTAAAAAATTAGAAAATCCAAAAACATTTAAAAAAAATAGAAAATCCAAAAACATTAAAAAAATTAGAAAATCCAAAAACATTAAAAAAATTAGAAAATCCAAAAACATTAAAAAATTAGAAATTTTGTTTGAGGGAGATGTTTTGGGAAGTAATATAATAATGTGATAACAAGCAACCTGAGTCTGCGTAACGTACCCAAAGTTGAAGGGTCTATGCTCTGGTTTGATATGTCGGTAGGCACAAAAGATTTTAAATCGACATGACTAGGAAAATTTGAACTTAGGAAATCAAATTACTTGACAAATCTTGACCCAGATAGTTCCGTTTAGCCTGACAATATGATGCTTGGATAGGTTGAGCAGGGAGATATATATGGGAATCTACTCGTCACATTAATTGAACCCGTACTTGGAACCGTGGTTTAACTTTTCCTCCATGTGCGAATTCTGTCCTTCATTCCGGTATTGATGGGGCAACTGGTAAATTCTGATAAATTAGGTTTGTAGAAAATCATTTTCTTTCTTTCTGTCTATTAGTCATATGTTACCTCCTCTGCGTGATTGGAAGAGATCCGACCTGGACTGTAACATATGCAAATCTATCTCTCTGCATATTATACATATGTATATATATATACACACACACACACACACACACACACACACACACATATATATATATATATATATATATATATATATATATATATATATATATATATATATATATATATATATATATGAAATTCCTCTTATCTGTTAGTCATATGTTGTCTCCTTTGCGTGACTAACCATCCGACCTGTTACACAGCATATGCACTATAAATGATAATACTCTGAATCTATCTTCTCTCCTAATGATGGTCTGCTCATCCGATGTAAGGAGTACTCTGGAAGTCCTTGATTACCGGGGCATATCTGGAAGCGGGAAACATGTTCCAGTACACTTAAAATTGAACTCATACAGATTGTCTATAGATCTCGCTGCTCAATTTAGGTGGACAACAATATCCCTGGTCGTCGTCAGCTGAATGGTCCTTAAGATATAGTATCTAGAAACTTAGGTTTAAATATAATATCTAGGAATTTAGGATCACATTGTCTTGTCACTCATTAGTGTGTCCTAATTTTGTCACAATTTTTCGTGTTTAAGTGGACAACAATACCGACAATCGATCAGATAAAGATGTGAATATGAAAGGTACCGACAAGCGGATAATGGTTGTCTAAAAACTTTGATCCCTAATCCTCAACAGGTTAAAACAATTTATATAGGTTTAAATTGAATTTTTGTCGTCAATAGTATTTACAATTTCATTTTATTTCCTATTTTTATTTTTATTTTTATTTTTTATTTTTTATTTTCAATTTTATTTTTTATTTTAAATTTTATATTTTTTATGAAATTTGAAATTAATTAATCCCAAAATAATTCATTTTTGAGAAAATTGTAAGTGAAAGGGGTTTTGGGATAAATAATTAAAGGACAAGGGGGAGAAAGTGAAAATTATGTGTATATATATATAGTGTGTGTGCGGTGAAATATGTACCGTCACTATTCCCTTCTTCAACCGCACACACATTTTTTTCTCTCTCAAACTCTTAAAAAAAATTCCATTAAATTTTTGTGCAATCAAAGCTTTTACTCGGTAATTCTCATGAACATGGCTGATTTTTTGATTATTTTCACAAAATTTTCTATCGTTTGCTGTTGAATCCTTATAAAAAATTGTTTGTCTTCAAGGGTAACCGCACACGGTGTGTGCGTCCGCACACGTGAGTGTGCGGCTGAAAGTGTGCTGCCACAATTATATTATGTATGATTGTGTGCGGCTGACCGTGTACAGTTGTACAGGTGGGTGTGCAGCTGTATGTAACTCCGTGTGCGGCTACATCATTCTCATAGTTTTGCCCTAATAATCTTGTGTGTTGCCTTTCAGATTAAAATGGGAGACATGGAGTTCGCTAAAGTCCACAATTCCACAATTTTTCTTGAAAACCCCCCTGCAACCCACAATGACTTGAAATTCATTATGGATGGTTTGAAGAAATCATGCTTGGTTCAATGCCTAACTACAAATCCTACTATCTACCAAAGTTTGATTAAGGATTTCTGGAGAAATGTTGTTGTAAAGAAGAATGATCGAGGTGAAAATTTTGTGGAAGCAACAATCGAAGACAAGAAAATTCAAGTAACAAAAAGCATCATCAGAGAATCTCTTCAAATTGAGGATAGACCTGAGTACCCCATGGAGATTGACGTTCATCAAATTGAGGAAATTTTAGAGTATATGGAATACGAAGGAAATTTTCCTCCTACAATCAAGAAGTTGCTTCCTCCATGCTGGAAGCTTTTGGCTCATGTGTTCGTGAGTTGCATTTCTGGCCGGAGATCAGGAGCAAACGAGATTTCTCTAGCCAACACTGGTGGCATTGCATCATAAGCAGCAGGTTTTGAGTTTAATTTCTCAAAATTCATAATGAATGACATGATACTAAATCTTGAAGGGAGCAAAAGAGACAAATTTTGTATGTATCCAATATTTTTACAAATCATCCTTAACGTAACTCACCCCGAGTTGCAGAGAGGAAATGATACTATGGATTTCAAATCCATTGGTCCAAGTGCCTTTGGACTAATGAAGCAAAAGAGAGGCGGAAAGTTCGTATTTGAAGGAAAATTTCCAATAATAAAATTTGGAATTTTTAAAGAGGATGTCAGAGAAGAATCAGCAGAACAATCCATGCCGATGGAAAATGAAGATATTTCTCTCTCCCCCTCCAAGCCTGAACTGGAGGAGATTCATCACTCTCGCACAACTTATGTAGCTGATGAGCATGATAATCAGAAAGCAAATGATTCAAAATCTTCTCGAGAGGATGATGATGATGATCTTTATGAAGATGTGGAATTTTTGAAAGAAATCGACTTTACAGGAATCAATGACGACATTCCAACAAACATAGAATTTGATTTTGGTGATGAAGATTTTGATCATTTTCTTGATATTCCCAGCAGTCATGTAAATAAAGTCGATGAAGTTGCTTTTTTAGCAACTAAGACTAGAGATGAAGGAAATGTTCTCAAAATTCTGCTCTCTACCTCAAAGCCCTTGGATATCACAAGCTAAGGAGATGTGACATCAAAGATTCCTCCCTCTGTGTCACCTGTCTCAACATCAGCTCCAGTCATTTCTGACTTAACTGAACCTCAGACTTCTCAGATTTCCATGAGAACAAGCCAATCTCTTAAAAGTCTGGAGGTACCCTCTGTAAGCAGTGCTCCTCAAGTCATTTCAACAATCACTGCTACCTCTGCTCACTCTCTTCCAATGCAAACTGATGAAGATCCAAGTATCATGTTCGAGACTGGTGGATCCTCATTCACTCTAGAATATTCTCCAACTCGACCTTCTCTAGATGATGCTTCTATCAGATTGGTAAAACATCTAGCTCAATCTAGTCCAACCTCTTCACGCGGGAAAAGAATATCATTTAACGAGGGTCGGACAGATGATGACAAATCCTCTTCATCTGATCTCCGAGAAGAAATTGGAATTCTCTGTCAACAGCTCATTGAAAAGTCAATACAGATGTATCAGCTTTCTACACATATCTTTGAGCTCAGGGCAAAGGATGAAGAAAAGACCAAACAAATCAATGATCTACAAACGTGTCTTGCATCTGTTCTAGCTAATTATTTCAATCTCAAGAACGTATTGTATGATGCTTTTGGTGAAAAATTCAAAGCCATCTTCCAACAGCCTCATGGAGTAGTTGATCCTCCTTCTGTTCAATCAGCTCCTGCACCTGATGATCTTCCTGTCAACCCTCCTACTCCAAAAACAACTACAATTGTCAACAGGTTTGAAAAAGAACCTGAAGGAAGCAAAGCCAGAATCACAATCAAGCAGGGCAAAAGAATCGTAACTGCAAAACAGAGCGAATGCCTTTTATTCATGAAAAATTCTAATGAAAATCGCAAAACAAGAGACCCTGTCTTGACAGTAATAGATTTGAAGAAAAGAAAGTTCAGTGATGAGTATGGTGACAGGACAGGCATCCGAATGTGGGCCTTTGATCCAGTGACGAATTTGTGGGTTGTAAAGCGAAAATCAGGAGCAACTGAATGTTACAAAAGCACCCATGATTTCAACTCTTGGACCAAAACTGATCTAGCTGAATTATCCTGGGCCCCATTCCATAACCTCTCTGAAGATCCTAATGCTTCAAATTCCAAAAGATTTCTCGACAGACAGGTCAAAGAGAACTTTCCATCAATGAAGACTGCAAAAGCCCTATATAAAAAGGACAAAGATGTTCTTGATCCAGAAACAGGCGAACCCATGAAGATTATACTCTAGCCTGCAGATAAGAAACAAAAGGAAATTCCTATTCCTCAACATTTTCATGAGGGATATCTGGATGACATGGAATTTTGGGTATATGATGACGAAACAGCTACTGCAGCCATCAAATTCAAGTATCCAAAACATGTTCTGAGATTGATTAGTGCTAAAGATTTCTCCGTTTCAGAGAAAGGGATATACGAACTTTGCCCCATCATCAAATAATTTGAAGAAAAGATGTCATGGAAGCTGCTGCTAAAGAATTCACTGCTATGGTGGCTACGATCATAAATGGAAGATTGTGGATGGGATCGATGGGGAGATCAGATCTGAGGTTGTTTGATAAGCCTGCTGAGGAGCCAAAGGAGTGAAGACAGGACTATGCTAGTCTCAAACCAAGGGGGAGACTGAAAGAACATAATTTTGTGGTTTGAGCTAGGCATCATTTTGTATAAGTGACAGTGTCATTTTTGCGGTGATTGTGTGTTAACTTGTCATGTGTGCTGCCACACATGTGTGTGTGCGGCCGCACACATGTGTACGGTTGCACACTCTTATGCTCGTAGGAGGAGCACTATTTAAAGCAACTGAGTTCTGTCAGTTTGTACTTGTTGCTTGGTGTCAGAACTCTGTTGCAGCAATACTTTTCTCAAGATGTACTTGACATTTACAGGCAATAGATTTGTGCATGCTTGATTTTATTTCTTCTTCTTCTACATCTTTCCTTTATTGCAATCAACTTCATTGATTACTAAATTGGATCATTAGATTTGGGACTTACAACCCTCCGGTCCGGTCTAGCTCGTTCGACCCTCTGGCCCGGTCTGATGGAGGACCCTCCGGCCTCATGAGTCGTTGGACCCTCTGGTCCGATCTATATAACACATAGCATACATATAACACAATGCACATAAATCTTAGACATACACATACACATAAGACATAAGACCCTCCAGTCTTCACATAGATACCACTCTAGGTAATGTGTAGTGAGAAGACTCACCTAGGGTAATCTCGGAAAGTCTCGAACTCGAAGTACCGGTCTAGCCTCCGACTAATCACATAAAGTAATTTTATGTCTAATTAACAACGATTCCCAAAGGCTATACTAATCCTTTACTCTAGTCTCTCAGAAGGTAAAAAGACTATTTTACCCCTCCAATGATCCAAATGCCCAATTGTTGACCAAACCCTAAAAGTCAACGGAAGTCAACTCAGTCAATGATCCAACTTTGACCAGACTCACCGAGTGCACTCGTGGGACTCGGCGAGTTCATGCGTATATTTTGAATCCTTCTAAGGCCTCACTCGACTCATCAAGCTAACCTTTCACTCGATGGGTTACCACTGATCCTGAATCGCGAGGCAACTCGACTCGACTCGTCGAGTCCTCTCATGGACTCGGCGAGTTTCCTCCACGGTAACTCCCAAATGACCTTCTGAGGTCAGATTTGTTTCTCTAACTTATAGATCTGACCTGTAAACACTCAAAAGTTACATAAATGTCCAATCTTTATGCTCATGCAACACTCATATGGCTCTATTTTATGAATTAGATCTTAATATAACAACCAAGACCCAAAACCCCAAAGGGACAACATAAAGTTGGATGATTGGGACACTCTAGACCTCTCAAGGTCCAGATCTAATGTCTATTTCACATTGGGACTTCTCATGCTTCTTATTCCAACTCAAGAAAGGGTAAAGAAACCCTTGATTAAATAAGCCTACACAATAAAGAAGAAAAGGGTCGAATTGCTACCTCAAAGTGAAGTCTCCTTGCTTAAAGGTCTCAGAACAACAACCTCCTTTCGTCCTTCTTGCTGGATCACTTCTCATCCTTAGCAAAATCACAACAAATGGCTCAAGATCTCTCTCTCTCTCTCTCACTTCACACGCTCGAAAATGGTAGGGTTCTTTTCTCTGGAAGGGTGGCCGCAAGTGAAGGCCATAAGGACCCTTAAATAGGGTATAGGCCCAAGAATTTAGGGTTTCTATCAACAGCTCGAACCCTATCCGATGTTGCCAGTAGACCTGAACCAGAGGCAGCTTTTAGTTCCTCAGAACCTTAATCTTCTAATAAAAGATTGCGATTGGCCTCTCAATGTAGTTCAGGCTTGCATCCACCTGAATATCATCTATTGGAACTACTGCCGTCTCATCAGCTATACACTTCCTCAACTGGGATACGTGGAAGGTATCATGGACCTCACCCAACTCCTCGAGTAGCTCTAAATGGTATGCCACTTGGCCTGCTCTGGCGATCACCCTGAAAGGACCAATGTATCAGATCCCCAGTTTGCACCTCTTCCTGAATCGAATCACTCCTTTCCAAGGAGATACTTTCAGGAGTACAAAATCTGCAACCTGGAACTCGAGCTCGGATCGCCGCCTATCCGCATAACTCTTCTGGCGGCTCTGGGTTGTCAGCAATCTCTACCTGACCTGTTGTATCTGCTCAGTCGTCTTAAGCACTATCTCAGTGCTACTCATCACTCGCTTCCCCACCTCGCCCCAACAGATAGGGGTCCTACACCTCCTCCCATACAACAGCTCAAAGGGAGGCATACCAATACTCGAATAGTAGTTGTTGTTGTAAGAAAATTTGGCTAAAGGTAGGTATTAATCCCAACTTCCACCGAACTCCATGACACAACTCCCCATGAAACTTCTTCCAAAACCTGGGAGTAACACGAACATCTCGGTCTGACACAACTGAGATCGGCACTCCATGCCACGACACCACCTCCCTCACATAAATCTCTGCTAGTCTCTCTGCAGAAGAGCTCTTACTGATAGCAAGGAATAAGGCGCTCCTCATTAGCCGATCCACAATCACCCAAATTGCATCAACACCCCTCGCGGTCCTCGACAGTTTGGTGACGAATCCATAGAAACATGTTCCCAATTCCACCGGGAACCTCTAGTGGCTGTAACTTTCCATGCGGGCGCTGGTGCTCGGCCTTAACCCAACAACAGGTCAAGCACCTCTCTACTACCCACGCAACATCCCTCTTCAAACAAGGGCACCAATAATATTTCTTCAGGTCCAAATACATCTTAGTGGCCCTAGGATGGATCGAGAATCTTGATCCATGCGCCTCCTCGACTATCGGTAACAAACTCGACTATCGGTAACACACTCGACCATGAAAGGTTATAAGCCCTCGACTATCGGTAACAAACTCAGATACCTGCGCAATCACCCGCTCTTTCTTGTGGTTCTCCGGTCTCACTGCCTCTGCCTGGGCCTCTCGAATGGTATCCAACATCCGGTCTCACTGCCTCTGCCTGGGCCTCTCGAATGGTATCCAACATCCGGTCTCACTGCCTCTGCCTGGGCCTTTCGAATGGTATCGGGGCACCCTCCGCCCTACGGCTCAGAGCATCGGCTACCACGTTAGCCTTGCTCGGGTGGTACAGGATCTCACAATCATAATCGTTTACCAGATTCAACCATCTCCACCAGAGTATGTTCAAGTTGGGCTGATCCAACAGGTACTTTAAACTCTTGTGGTCTGTGTATATGGTACACCAAACCCCATACAAATAATGGCGCCACATCTTGAGGGCGAACACCACTGCCCCTAACTCCAAATCGTGGGTAGGATACCTCGTCTCATGAGGCTTCAGCTGCCTCGATGCGTATGCTATCACATTCCCTATCTGCATGAGCACCACTCCCAACCCTAATACAGACGCGTCACAGTATCTCTGGCGAAGAGTCTCAAACGAGGTCTGCTGCTCGGGACCCCAAGTAAAAGCAACGCCCTTCTGGGTTA